TAAATTTTTATTTTATTTTTTATATATAATGCCAAATTACGATTTTACCCCTTTAAAATTAATGAAAATGATAAAAAGAAATTGAGTGGCTATGATGAAACAAAATCAAATTGGATGGTCATGTTGACACCAAGTATAAATTTGGGTGACCACCAGTAAATTTAACCTTAAGTATATCAATCTTGAACGACCGAAATGAATAATTTAGTCTATCAATCTTTGAGCAGCTATATATCACGTGGCATGCCCAGTTTCTATTCCTAGATTCAACAAAAACAGCTCAGATGTACCTTGAACCACGGTAACTAATTGAAAATTAATTACAACATTTAAGAAAAAGAGTGAACGCTAAGAAACACAAATAATAAATCTTAAAATTATTAATAATTTTTAAGGAAGAATAATATTGAGTTACACGAAATGTGTATATAACAAATGAGTGATAGTTACGAATGTCTATTCGAAATTAATATTTGAATTTGAGAAAAAGAAAATTATCAAATAACTTTCTATGAGAAGAAGAAACCTTGTCAATGTTTAAAGCAAGATAATGAAAGAAAGTGACACATTAACTTCCCACTAAATACTCACTTGACTTTACTAATCAAGAAACAATTATTGAAATTACTTTCTTACACTTATAATTTTGCTTCTTAATGATCAGCAAAATGTACAATTCATCACCCAATAATCATATGCTTCACAGAAGATTAATTAAAACCCAAAAAAAAGTAGAAAAAAAAATTATTAACTGCATATAGGGAGAATATAAGTGGCCCTTTTTTTCTTGAAGATCACACACTGACTTTACAACGCTGTGATAACTGATACTTAACTGCGGTGCCGACTATAATTCCAGTATTCCAGCTATTTCCGACCGGGATATAAGCCGGACAGGTGACGTGGAGGTGGTACCGGCCGGAGATGAACGATCCAACTTTCCATCTAACACGGCCATCTATCTTGAAAACCATATAAAGAGCTCCATTAGACTGATCCTGGCTCAAGGCTAGACCATTATACGGTGCCACCGGCACGTTGTTTCCGGAAACAAAAGGTGACCAGATGTTTACGTCCTTGTGGCCCTGATAAACCGGAGGTATGATGGTGTAGTAGGTCAGTTGCTGGCTGTGGTAGGTGGCGAAGATATCTAATTTGTCGTAATAAATGCCGATTTTGGAGTTGGGGTTGCGGGAATTGATGGTGACTTGGATGGTGGTGGAGATGATATTGGGGGCGGAGACGTTGAGTGAAAAGATGGTGGCATCCTGGAGGATGAACCGGGGTTTCTTAGGCTGGAGGGTGGCCCAGACGATGAGGATGACAAGGAGAATGATGAAGTTTAAGATAAGGAAGCCGGCACAGAACCGCTTTATGAGCTTCTTTCGCCTGCACTGGTGGTGGCCGCACTTGCCTCCCATGGTGGTGGTTGGGTGTAGACGAGGTTTCTGAGAGGAAATGGTGAATTGTGAGTAGTTTCGCACATTGCTTGTCTATATATAAGTGAACTTAGAGTAGGGGCCGGGGCACCGTACTAACACACTAAGTAACACGCGTGTAAAAACCGTTTTGGGGTGAATTAAGTCTATAGGAATGATACGTGTGACTTTTGAATAGCTATGAATTAAGCATTTAGTTAAGAAAGTTTATTAAAATAAAAATTAATAATAATTTACTTATACGTATAATGGAATCCACAATTTTCAACCATACATTTCATCAATTTTTATCAAAGTTTATTAAAAATTAACGATGATTGTGATTTTGATGGATTTTAAAAAACTTTTTTAAATTCTGGTGTCTTCAATTGAAATTTTAATAAATTTTAATTAACATGTATGTGTTTTTAACTGAGATTTTAATGAATTTCAATGAAATCCTTTAAA